ATACGTAGTGTTAAAAAGGCCAATTTTCGCTTTACTATCCTCTGTAAAGCATCTAAATTTAGTTCTTATTTAGTTAAGTTAGTTTATTTCTTATTTTCTACGTTTTAGACCATAAGTGCTGGTCTGTGTACCCCGAAGTGCGGGAACGGGTGTACGGTGTGAGAAATAAAGGTTAAATTTAACCCTTCTTACCTTTGTTGCATTTTCTACACACGCACGAACTTAGTTTTGAGTAAGCTCCCTGTTCCTACACAGGACTCCAGTTATTGTTGTATCTCTCAATAGAATTCTAAAAGGTAAAAAGAAATCTCTTACCTTTTCTTTCACCCGGGAGCCGAGCTTGTTCCATTCTAATTCTTATTCGATGAAATATCTAAATAATTCCAAGCTTTTGCATAAAAACTGACACTTCTGTATAAATAAAGATATTATATTTAGATACATTTATACATTTTATATACAATTATTAGGATTACATGAAAATTACGCGCTCTCCAGCTAACAGTCAATCGAGTTCGGGTTCAGAGTTCTAACTACGTTCTTCCGTAGGATTATTCTCGAGTTTAGATGTAATGGTGCTGATAGTTCGGAGTTTAGATGTGGAGGCGCTGATAGTTCGGAGTTTAGATGTAACATCACCTCCCACCATTGAGATCCGACGATGCGGAGGAACTCAATACACACAGGTCCAGTCGATGAGGAGGCCGAACAACTCGTCCAGCTCTGGTCATCACTCGAGGACTTGAGGCAGGTTCTGGAATACTAGCAGCCTGATCAGCCTGACCAGTTGCATGGTCGTTTCTATCTCGAGGTGCTCTGTCGGGGAACGGAGGGCCAACGGATTCGGAAGTAGAGATCTCCAACGGGAAAAGCCGGGGCACTGGACGAAGCAGAATTCCATTTCTTGTCTTGACCCTCGCTAGTCTAACTATTCCGTCTTTACTGGGGAAAAGCTCGACTATCTTGGCTAAAGGCCAATGTATGCGTCGTCTCTGGCTGTCTTCCAATAGAACGACATCGCCTACTTGCAACTGTTGAAATTTTCCCTTCTTTATTGCCTGTTGTCTCAACTGACCAAGATATTCATTACGAAATCTGTTTCGTAGATCATGTCTTATTCTCTGTCGGTATTTGGCTCGACGGTTTAGTTCTTTGGAATCTACGTAGTCCATATCAGGAACTCCTGATGACGGCAATTCTTGCAGGAAACATCATAGGGGTCAGTGGTGATGGATCTTGATTATCCTCTGATACGTATGTGATAGGTCGCGAATTAATCACTTGTTCACAGTCACATAATATAGTGTATAATTCTTCATAATTTAAGGACGTTCGACCTAACACTCTTCTTAAATTTTCTTTCACCATTCGCACAAGCCTCTCCCACCAACCTCCCCACCAGGCGGCGGTCGGAGGGTTGAACTTCCATCGTATCCTTTGGATAGAAGCAGCTGAACATATGGCGTTCCAATTAACTTTCTTAAGAACACTGTTAGTCCCTACAAAATTAGTTCCGTTGTCGGAATATATCACATAAGGTCTACCTCTTCTGGCAATGAATCTACGTAAAGATTGGATGAAAGTTTCTGTAGATAGAGATAGAGAAGTAACTAGTTCGAGGTGAATGGCTCTATAAATGGCACATGTATACAAGACTATCCACGCTTTAGACCCCTCACGGAGATAGAGAGGACCCGCTAGATCTACACCGACGACTTCAAAAGTCGCCCCTTCTCTGACTCGATCTTCGGGTGGAAATCCTGGCTCGACTTCCACTCTTTGTGAAACAAATCTTTTACATCTTACACATTTTCTGATAATATTTCGAATACTTTTCCTGGATTTTAATATCCAAAAGTTTTCTCTAAGATTTGTCATTAAAGTGCTGACACCAGCATGCTGGAGTTCTAGATGTTTCTCGTAAATTAGTCTCTCAACAAGAATATGTTTTGAAGGTAAAATGATAGGATATCGGAAATTTTCATTATCTTGACGCTGTAGGACGTTCGTTTTGGCTCTTAAAATTCCATTTTGGTCTACGATTGGTCTCAGCGCACGAATAGCGGGATCGTTTATGCCTGTAAATGATTCTTTCTGTACCAATCTACAAAGTGCCTTTTCAGCATTCTCCAATTCATCAACTGAGACATCAGGAGTGAGGTTTTATCTTTGTTCTTTAAATTGTGATAAAACCTGAAAATCCAAGCGATCATTCTCACGGTTTTTCTATATGAAGAGAAGTATTTGTAGTACCGGTCCAAATTGTCTCCATGATCTAGAAGAGTCAGAATCGTTTTCCTTTTTTCCTTTGTTTATAAGTTCTTCATCAGGCTTTTCTTCTACATGGGGCCACTCGTCTTCTGGTAAGTAAAGCCACGATGGGCCCTCCCACCATGCCGATTTCTGTAATTGCTCAATAGTACATCCTCTCGATGGGAGATCCGCTGGGTTTAAACTTCCAGGTACATGCCTCCAGTCAGATATTCTGGTAAGCGATCTTATTTCTTGTACTCGATTGTGAACAAACGTACCCCATGCTTGATCCCTTCTTATCCACCCCAAAGCTGTAGAAGAATCACTCCAGAACACTGTTCTACAATTCTTAAGTTTCAAATCTGATAGAATTGTTTTGGCAAGCCTGGCACCTATCAGACAGGAAAGAAGTTCAAGCCGTGGAATCGTAAGTTCCTTAATAGGGGCTATTCGACTTCTCGCGCTTACTAACTGAACCTTTACACCTTCGATGGTTTCAGCTCTTAAAAATGCACATGTGGCATAGGCTCTTTTACTAGCATCCGAAAAAACGTGGAGCACTACGGTATCTTCGTTTTCGTAATCAATATTTAACCAACGAGGAATTTCAATCTGAGATAGCAGAGGCAATTGGTTCAACCAAGTCCCAAACTGCTCACTTAGGGGAAGAGGAAGATCTTCATCCCACTTAATCTTCTGGTTCCATGTTTCTTGCAAAATTAGCTTAGGAATTACAGTTATCGGTGCAGTAAAGCCAATGGGATCAAAAATTTTCTGGGTAATTGACAAAACTTTTCTTTTGGTAATAGGTTCCCTCAAGTTAAATGTTTCTTCGATCTTGCAACTCAAACTATCTTTTTCTAAATCCCATACTAATCCTAATACTGGGACAACTTTTGTCTTGCTCTCTATCTCATCGATCATGTCAATGCGAAAATTTGATCGCCAACATCTCAAATTGAAATGCCCTGAAGCCAAAATCAATCTTGCTTCTTGAACGAAATTTTCAGCTTCATCTACGTGATTTAAGCTAATTAACGAATTATCGAGGTAAAATGAATCTTTCAAAATATTAGAAGTTTCTACAAATTTTTCTGGGACTGTAGTCAAAAGGTGACCTAAGTGTAGCGGCTAGCAGAAACGGACTTGATGTGAGTCCAAAAACAACTCGGTTATGTCTGTAAATTTTAAACTTATGTTGATTATCGAACCATAGAAACCTTAAAAAATCTCTATCCTTTTCTGCTATTTTGATTTGACAAAAGGCCTTTTCGATGTCAGATGACACTCCTATGCGATATTTTCGAAAACGATTCAATATACGTGGAATAATTTCTATTAAATTTGGTCCTTTACTCAAACAATCATTGAGAGAGGGTGAATTCTTAGAACGTGCAGATGCATTGAAAACAGGCCGTATCTTTGTAGTTTCACTAGACTCTTTTATTACAGGTCTGTGTGACAAGTAGTGCACTCCTTCCTCCTTTTCCTCAGTTACTACCTCAATAATGTCCTTCGCTTCCCACTCATCAAATATTTCTTCGTAATCTTTTCTTCTGCGTGTGTTAATTAGTTTACTTTCGGTTTTGACGAGGTGTCTTTCTGCCACAGTACGGTTACTGGATAAGACGGATTTATCTAAAATAAAGGGTAAGGTAAGGTTACTTCATATCTCCCTGAGCTATCTCGTTTTACACTTTTTAAGAAATGTTTTCGGGTTTCTTCTTCCAAGACACTTTTCGTTTTGTTTTCCTGACTTGAAATCCCCAAAGTGTCTAAACGCCAAAGATTGGACAAATTTGTATCGGAAACATGTAAGGATAAAGAAAGAACGGACAGGGAACTCGACGTATTCGCATTCTCTTTAATCTTGCCCATTAAAGTCCAGCCTAACTTGGTCTCAAAGGCTACGTAATCCCCCGCAAAATGTTCAATTCTTTCAGTGAACAATTGTGCTGCGGTGTCCGCTCCTAACAGCATATGAATCTCTTCCGGATTTTCTTGAAACAGACAGAGATTTCCATTCACATGATTGTCGTTGATAAGGATTCCCCTTTTTTCCATTACTTTAATTAATTTTTCGTCTTTGATCTTAGGTAGTGACGAACAAATTTTCCTCTGGTCTAGTGCTTCGATTTTACACCTGTACTTTCCATCCAAACTAGTTAAATCTATTTGATAACGATTATGATCTTCCGAAACTTCTACACCCCCAAATAACCCATGTTTAATTCTTTCAGTTCCTATCTTTTCTAATTTCAACGTTTTAGCAGCATATTGACTTATGTACGTGTTCTGACTTCCGGTGTCTATTAGCAATCTTAAATAACCCTTTAAGGTTTTCCCAGCTACCCCTACGACCAAAGTTTGTAAATAAACTTCAGAACGGTTGCTTTGATTCGAAAGTACTTTATTTTCAACTTCCTGGACAGTTTTGATCGTTCCCTTTTTACTCTCGGAATTAATTCTGTTGCACATAATCGTAGAATGCTTAGAGTGACAATGGGGGGTGCAAAAAATGTTAGAATCACAAAATTTGCTGATGTGACCCTTATTTTGTAAACACCTAAAACAAGTGCCATTTTTGCGTAGTATTTCAACCTTTTCGTCATTAGTTAGTTTCTGGGCAATAGGACATTTATGGCTTGAATGGGAAAAATCTCCGCAAAAAAACACATGCCTTAATCAATTTTTCTTTAATACCCGTGGACACTAAATCAGAAGCAGAAGAAGCTTTCGTTTCTAATTTATTGCTCTTTCCATCGCGCTGAAATGACGAGTTTTATTTTCTGGACTGCATACGCAGACTGACGGCGCCCACTATTCGCTGTCGAATGCTCTGAATTCTTATTTATGACTTCCGCCCTTTCGCGTGAATCTAAACATTGAGCTATAATCAAGCACAGGCTTTTAATATTACAATACGCACTTCCATTACTCATTCTGTTAATCTCAAGCAAAATATCTTGGGGAAGTGATTTCAGAATTATTGGACATAACACACTTGATAAATTCTCGAGAGACTGACCCAAATTTTCTAAACATCTTAATTCGATAGAAATATTATCATAAAATTTTCTAAAGGCGCGAACATCATTCGAGATTTTCAACGGTTTAGTGTTCAAAATGTTATTTATGTGAGTGTAAATGAGCACATCTGTTTTCGCAAATCTTTCTTTTAGAAGATCAATTGCGGAATCGTAATTAGCAGCAGTAATCGGTAATCCTTCGACTGTATTTAAAGCAGAACCACCTAAATGAGCTTTCAAATAATTAAATTTGTCTATTTTATCTAATGAATCATTTTTATGAATGGCAGACTCGAAACTGTTCCAAAAGGTTAGCCAGTTGTTTATATCTCCGTAGAATTTCGTTAAAGTTAACTTAGGTAATTTAATTCGAACAGACTCGTTATGTTTTGGTTCGCTTTGACTATCAGTACTGAACTGGTTATTTACTACCGTTTCAGTAGATTTGCGTTTTAATTCGTCGATTCTTTTGGAGGTACGGAAACTGCATTTAACGACCTTTTGGCGATATTCTTCAGATTTTTGGAATTCAGCATCAAATTCTTCGACTTTAAAAAGAGGTTCTAATTCTGTATCGACACTTTTAAGCGATTCGAAATTATTCTTTAATATTTCTAAATTTTCTTCCAAATCATGAATTTTCGGATCAATTTCCGAAAGCTGCGATTCCAAATCTTTAAGCGATTTCGTTACTGATGTTCGGAGAGCTGCGCGCTTCTTTTTTAATTTATTTAAGATCTCTTCAGACATGTTCTTAACAGTTCAAAAATTCAAAAATGTAATCAATAATTGTATTCTTAATCTTTATTGTCTAATTTAAATTCTTATTCTTAGCTCGGGCGTCCCGGCAGGGATGCCAAAAAATTTGTTGTATCTCTCAATAGAATTCTAAAAGGTAAAAAGAAATCTCTTACCTTTTCTTTCACCCGGGAGCCGAGCTTGTTCCATTCTAATTCTTATTCGATGAAATATCTAAATAATTCCAAGCTTTTGCATAAAAACTGACACTTCTGTATAAATAAAGATATTATATTTAGATACAGTTATATACAATTATTAGATTACATGAAATTACGCGCTCTCCAGCTAACAGTCAATCGAGTTCGGATTCAGAGTTCTAACTACGTTCTTCCGTAGGATTATTCTCGAGTTTAGATGTAATGGTGCTGATAGTTCAGAGTTTAGATGTGGAGGCGCTGATAGTTCGGAGTTTAGATGTAACAGTTATGTTTCCAAAGGCAATTAGAAGGAACAGTAGTCCTGACAACTTGAGGAATTTTTTTCGAAGCAAAAGTAAGAAAATGCTAATAGAGATTACGCTTGCTTCCTGTGTTAAACAGGTACAAAAAGATCAAACAGAGATTGATTCTACGATATATGATTACGATAGATTTAAAGACAAAATTTAAAATTTTTAATTAATTCAATTAAAATTAAATAAATTAATTTTAGTTTAAAGATGTAAACAAATTTTGAAATTTTTACCCAAAGGAGCGTTACACTCAAGCGGAATACTGAAGAGAACCAGATTTTTCAGCTGAATAACGTATTCAGTTTCGATGTACGAATGAAGAAATACAACCCGAAGGAAAGGCCTGTGCAATGTTTCCGTTGCCAGGCCTTAGGACACACGCAGCACCTTCGTAATAATCCCGAGAGATGCGTCAAGTGTGGTGGACCCCACAGAAGCAATACATGCTCGAAAAAACAAGAGGAAAAGCCCTGCTGCATTTTTTTTTTTTTTTTTTTTTTTTTTTTTTTTTTTTTTGCCAAGGGGACCATGTAAGCAGTTTTTGTGGTTGCGGGGTATATAAGGAGAAGTATGAAAAAAAAAGTCAACCCAGAACTAGCGGAAACCACCCCCAGATACTACGCGAGAGAATTTTCCTGAGCTAACGAAGTCAGACCTTCGGCAGAACAGTACTTCAAGAAAAGTGAAAAGCTGAGAAGCAAGCCTACTACTCCGCCAAACATTCTGGAAGGACTCTTATCTTGGTTCTTTAGCCCGGATATTCAAGAACTGCCAAAAGTTTTCTCTGAAATCCTAAGCTTCCTTCAGAATGCCAACTTAGCTGGGAAATTGAGAGGAGTACTTCAAACTGTGCAGAAATTCATGCAGATGACCACCAGTGAATAATTATTTTACTTCTTACCTTTCATGAACTTTTGAACTTTGCAGCATTCTACACGTTCCTTGCTCACCAGTTCGATGGCTTTCTGGCCTGCAGCTAATAATCGTTTTTACATCCTTAAATATCTTAAATTCTAAATTATTTAAATCTTTTGCTTATCATTAGCTTATTTTTTCATCCTAATTTACGTAGTTTAACGTTATCATTACTCGAGGTTAATACCCAGGTTATTTTCTATCAACATTTGAAACTTCTAATTAATTCTACAAGGGGTAGGGCCTCTGGCTCAGGCACCTTGGTGTAGCAAGCACCGTTCTACAGGAAGGAGCGCTAGCCCAGAAGGGCTATTAGTCTCGAAACGACATCTTGAGTTGGATCACTCTAAAAGTCTGAATCATTTTTGAGAATGTTGCCACCAAATATGATAGCCCTGTATTATATTCAAAGAAATTAAAAAATGAAGAATCTGCATGAATGCATGCATGTGTTTCGCATCGGGGAAAAAAAAAAAAAAAAAAAAGGTACTCAGAACGATGAAATTTTGAATTACGTTATCCTTCACCCGAACTTGAGCACCAGAAAGCCCGATTTTAGAATTTCGAATTTGTTTTAGTATCTCTTTCACATTTTGTAAAACTTTAACGAATATTTGATTAACAAGCTCAACGATTTCAAAGCGAATAAAAAAGAACATTTTAAATTCCAGCGCGCGAGACCGTATATTAGAAATTCTAAAGATATGCTGCTTTTAAAAATTTTGTGATATTTCTGTTGAATTGCATGTTGCTGTTGAATTGAATGAAGTGCGAAGAACATGAAATTTAATAATTAAAGGTAACACACAAAACGTTTAATAAGTCCTTTTAGACGTAATATAAAAATCAGAAACTTTCCGATTTTTTTCTTTTATCAAAGGTTTGAATTGGAATAGGGTACTCTATTACGTAAAAATCATCCTATTTTGGAGAAATTTCTTTTCAGCAATCGGGCACCCACCTCCCCTAAATTCAGGCTGGCTACACCCCTGCATATGTGCAATATTTTTCGATTTAAGGTACGTACAGAAATGAGCACTGGTTTAAAATACACTTGCGTGCAAAATAAGAGATTTTGCAAATTATGTCCATTTTTAAGAAAACCATTAAACCAAAGGAACTAATATGCCGCCGAAAAATTTTACAAAGTCGAATACGTAAAGGTATGCATGCGTGTCTGGGGACCTATGATTGTCGAGGGGATATAAGCTCACGAGCGGATTTCAGCGATTTGCGTGGTCGTACTCCTTCACGACATTCACCCTGTTTCTCTCAAGAGTTCGGTAAATTTTATAAGGGGTGAGGTAAAATGAGTAGCCAAGAGCGTATGGATGATGGAATAAGAAGGAGAATTGTTGGTAGTCTGCAGGAAAGCCAGTCGCAAGCGCAGATGGGCTACAAAGCGCAATATAATGCCTAATGTCATCTGCAGTTTATGGAAACAGTTTCAAAACACTGAATCCATATCGCAAAGATTTGGACAAGGTTGACTAAGATCCGCAATGACGAATGAGAATCGTTTTTTGGCACTTTCAGCGAGGAGAAAAAAGACTGCTACAGCTTCCCAGCTCTCACCTGAGCTGTATACTGCCTCTTCCTGCTGAGTTTCTCAGTCAATAGTTGCTTAAAAACTATATGATGTAGGCCTGCATGGCAGAAGTAAGAATAAGTCAATGCAGTACACAAGAAAGCGTGTTTAGCATGGTGCAGACAAAATGCGTTTTGGACCAGACTCCAGTGGACTTCGTGCTGTTTAGAGATGAGACTCAGCCTGGATACAGATTCTCAGGGTACCTGTGTCTGGAAAGAGCCTGGAACACGATACCATCCCTCCCTTATCAGGAATAAGGATCATTACGGTGGTGGGTGTGTAATGTTTTGGGTAGGCACTTTGTTGGACGGCCGCACACCCTGCATGTGTTTGACAAAAGCTCTCTGATTGCTGAATCATAGAGAGGAGATCTTATAGCCCTATGTTCGACTTTTCAAAGGCGCAGTTTGTCCTGGGTTCTTGTTAATAGACGACAACACTCGTCTACATAGGGTTCAGGGGATCAACGATTACCTTGAAAGTGCCGCATAGATTGGACAGCCAGATCTCCTGACCTTAAATATGTTGAACATATCTGGGACGCTCTTGGGAGGGAAATTTCATCTCTCCTCCGAAAACCATCCCGGCGTTAAAAACTGCCTTGCTCCAGGAGTGGGATCGACTGCCACAGAGATTACTCAACTGCCTCCTCACCGGTATGCTGTCACACTGCGCGATCTGTCTGGCTGTGAGGGGGGGCATACTCCATATTATATTCAATTCAATTCGATATCACAGCATGGATTTTGAATATCCCTGCATCACGAACTTTACTGATAATTATGTTTACACGAAATAAGTTTTGAATGATACATCTCTTCCTCTGTTATAAATGTATGTTGATACCAAATTTCCCTAAATTCGTTTTAGTAGTTTTTCAGAAAATCAAAAAAAGGTGCGAATTTTCTTAATTTTGCATACGATTATATACATAGTATTTATGTCCAGCTTATTTAAGTTGCGGACCACACATTTATATAATTAAACGAACCCTCTATGTAAGAACTGTATAGAAGGGTAAAATCGAGTGGATTGATAACTGAAATCAAACGGAAGACTATTGCTTTTTTTAGAGTCATTTCGACTTGAAAATTAAGCTAACTTATAATAGAAATGGATGGTAGTATCAATGATACTAATCAAGGATTCTGCATTGAAAATATCTGAATTGTTTTCATTAATTTAATCCTAGAACTGATCACTTCAGCAGATGGAAAAATAACAGCAGTTTCCAACTCTTATCCGATTATTAAAAAATGTCACTCTTATTCTTAATGAAATAATTCGCATAGAAAAGAGCAGAAAAAGAATTTCAAGGAAAAAGAAATAGAAAAATAAATAATAAATAAAAAAATAAAAAAATAATAATTACAAAAAAAAAAAAAAAAAAAAATAAAAAAAAAAAAATTAAAAAAAAAAAAATCTGAAATGTTTCAGATTTTAAATTACGTCGAAAGGGGCGTCGTTTTTTTAACGTTTTGAGTGTTACCTTTATTTATTAAATATCATGTTCTTTGCACTTAAACCATAAAATTCAGTTCAAGAGCAATATCGCAAAATAATGTTAAATTAAGCATATCTTTAGAATTTTCCGATATACACACAGTCTCGCGAGCTGGAGATAAAAGTATTTTTTTTCTATATAACGTTGCCATTTCTCGCTTTTAAAGCATTGAGTTTGTAAATCAAAAATTCGTTAAAGTTTTACAAATTATAAAATCTATAATAAAACAAATTCCAAATTTCGGATTTCAGATGCCCATATTCGCAGTAGGATTTCGTCATTCAAAATTCGATGGCTCTATGTACCATTGTTTTATCGCAATACGAGAAATAGACAATCATTTATGCAGATTTTTCATTATTTAATTTCTTCAAATATAATGCAGGACTCTAACATTTTGTGGCAACAGTTTGAAAAGTGAACCGACGTTTATGAGTCCGATTCAAAGCAAAAATCGCAAAACGAAAACAATAGTCCTTCAGGGACAA